CCGTTTTTCTGTCATTTTTTTTTTGTTTTTTTTCGATTTTTTTGAAAACTGTTGGAAAATGTTTAATTTTGACCTCTATAATGCACCAAGGATCTTCAGTTTWACATCGGAAACCACCCCCAAAGTTTGAAATCGAAGCATTATTTCGACTAGTTATGCTGTACACAGACACAAAAAAAAAAACAAACAAAAAACACACATCATTGTAAAATCAATACATTCATCACTTCGTTCAGAATCTAAAACTAGTAATAATAATATTATGGATTATACGCGATTAGCTGGGCTTAACTTAGAAAATATACAACCAAATTTTATATACTCGTACCATGTAGATGAATACATGATCTTGCCAATTGGTTTTATGGCTCTTTGAAATCTACCATAAAATGTTATCGAATGTGGTTATATTATATCTAGGTATTTATAATAAATTAATGACACAAATTTATTTATTATATTTGTTTTATGTATTCATTAGAAAGGTAGTTGACACAGGCGTCAGGGCAATGTTGATGATGTTAACTATATATACGCATTAAAAGATATTGGAATTCAATGTGTTTAATATTGATATGATTCATATGGTTAACTTTCAGTCATAATATTTAGATTATTTAAAACTTATGGCTCGCCGATGGTACATCTCGCACCCTCCTAKATACATGGCCTTGATGGTTCATATATCTATGATGTGTATGGATTATTAGTTGTAGACATGTGCTTATAATACCTTTCTGAAAATACCATTATTATACAGAGTGTACCGCGATGATTTACCCATTGCGATATCTTATGAGATACTAAATATATCATAAATCTGTTTTTTTTTTTAGACTCACAAGGGCTACATGAATTTTATTTTGTAATTAATTTAATTTTGTTGGTAAAAAAGTTAAAAACATTATTTTTTATTTTTGAAAAAAAAAATAGAGATACCTATTATATTTTATAGAGCTTATTTTGCTGAAAATTTTGACCTTTCAACATTTTATTTTCATTAATCTCATGATTTTTTATAATTTTTTTAGTTTACACATAAAACCTAACCAGAAAAAACTGTTTTTTATCCGAAGGACGAGTCCCCCTCTACGGTTAATATATTGCATGGTATGAAGCCGTATAAATTGTAGATTCATTATATATTATGTAGTGAATTATATCGAAATGAATTACAGGGTTTTCTTGTTTTTCAAATTTTAGAAGATGTCATACCCACTATTCTGTCTCTGTGCTATTMTGTGCATCCTTATAGCCAATAGTGAGAGCCGCCCAGGTCGTCCAGTTCGACGCTCACTATCTAACTCTGCTTGCTGTTTCACCATCACCGGACTTCAATAGTTGTTAAGAATGTTAAGATAATTTCAAGTATTGCTTCCCGTGTTATGTTCGCTTTGTGATCATTGCACATTCGATCACAGAGACTCCCTCCTCGTCGTGCACGTTCAGTTGCTTGTTATGGTCACTTAACAAATCCACATCAACTTGGTCTCGGTCGACATCGAGTGGTCCTTCAGGTTCAGCCCCCTTTCTTGGAAGCGAAAAACCTAAGATAAGAGATTTTTTAATATGATGTATATTTTAATTTTAAAATAATAAAACACATTTTTATTTAATTTTTTTTTTGTATATTATGTTATATCACGGTTTAGTGATAACTAATATAATAACTTATTCCTTGTTCAATCATCCAAATTATTTTACAACTACGTGTACAATACTTTATAGATGACGGCCAAAGTATAAGTGTTTTTAAATTATACCTAGTACCTACCTATATATAAACTAATATAATTTAATTTTTGTTTACTTAATTTCGGTAAGTATTTGACTATTTGGGTATCTTGCACAATATTCAAATATTGTAAATTTATTGTCTGACATTWAATGTGGGTAAATAGACAACACCCAATAAGTCAAATTGTAATGGTATTTACATGATTTTAGTAAATATTTAACAAATTTTAGATTCTGAGCGGAGCGATGAATGTATTGATTTTACCATGATGTGTGTTTTTTTTTTTTTGTGTCTGTCATCACGTTTTGGGGCAGTAAAAATGCTTCGATTTTTGACTTCAGTACCTCGTTCGATCAGAAAGTGAATCTAGTTGGTACTTTGGGGGTCAAAAGTAAA